CTTGGCTAGTGAAGAAACCCCAAAGATACAATGATTTTAATGTGTTTAGTGAGGGGATGATAGTAGGCCACTTGAAAGGAATCTAACAGACTTACTTGGGAATTTGACGAGAAGATGGGAAGAGTACGTTTAGCAGAATGTGGCATACGTTAAAAAACTAAAGAATGAGAAACACTGGTCTGAGTGCTGACTATCAACTTGACACTGCAGTCAAGTCAATTTTTTACCAACTGTGGTTACAGTACACAGCTTTAAACCAAAAGGCCTGAGGGATCTGGCAAGGGTGTATTTTAGCTCTTGTATTAAAAGTAATTCACCCTCAGTTTGTAATACATTTAGATAATTTTCTTCACATAAGAGGTCTTTTACGCTTGGTTAATTAAGATAGTACCCATATGGTTGTCAGAACATGTGAATTTTTCGGTTATATAAGAGGGAAATAGGTTAAGTAAGTATTAAGTGATATTTAGTGTGCCATTTTTAACCCCTTCCTTTGGTTATCCTAAACAGTTGCATTATTTTTGTTCTGTTTTACAGTTTTTGAGACAGTGTCCTTGAGTTCACATTCTGTCTTCCAGAGGGCAGTTTCAATTCTCCATACTTCTTACTTGGACTCTGCGTCTGAGCATGGTTTTCAGTACAGTCAAGTGACTTTGGTGAAAAATCACATTTTCTTAAATGAGGTGAGGTGCTTGGTACACACAGTGTCAGTTTTATTTCAGTTTTAAAAGAAATAGACCCATCGTTTTAGTATATAAGTTGTCTTAGTTATCTAGTGCTGCTGTAACAGAAATAACCACCCGTGGGTGGGTTTAACAAACAAAAATGTATTTTATCACAGTTTATGAGGCTAGAAGTTCAAATTCAGGGTGCTGGCTCTGAGGGAAGGCTTTCTGTCTCTGTTGGCTCCAGAGGAAGGTCCTTGTCTGTTTGAGCTTCTGCTCTTGGGTGATCTTCATGTGGCTTGGCATCTCTCTTCCCCCATCTCTGCATGCTTACTTGTCCTGATCTCTTTTATATCTCACAAGAGATTGACTGAAGATAAACCCTACATCAGTCCTGCCTCATTAATATAACAAACACAACCCATTCCCAAATGGGATTATAACCACACGCATAGAGGTTAGGATTTACAGCACATATTTTTGGGGGACACAATTCAATCCATAACATTCTACCCTTTGGCCCCCCAAAATTCATGTCCTTGCCATATGCAAAACACATTCACCCCATCACATCGTCCCAAAAGTCTTAAGTCCAAAATCTCATCTTCTGAATCATCTAAATCAAATATGAGAGAGACTTCAGGCGTAGTCCATCCTGGGGAGAAATTCCTTTTCATCTGTGAACCTGTGAAGTCTAGACTACAAGTTACCTGTTTCCAAAGTACAATGGTAAAACAGGTACAAGGTAGACATTTCCGTTACAGTTGGGAGAAATTGGAGGAAAAGAAGGGATAACAGGCACCAAGCAAGTCCAAAACCCAGCAGAGCAGATTACGTTAGCCCTCAAGCCTTGAAAATAATCCCCTTGTCTCTGAGACCATCTAGGCAGTGGCCCTTCCCTCCAGGCTCTGGGTGTTGGCTATGCCCTCTGGATTCTGGGTGGAGGCCCCTTGGCCCTGGGCTTTCAGCTCTACCTTCCAGGCCCTCTAGGGTGGCAACTCTGCTCCCTGGCCCCATTCTCGTAGACCATCCTGGTGGTGACCCCACCCCTTTGGCCCCAGCAGGCCCCATTCTTTTGTCCCTTGGGCATGGCAGCCCCACCCCGTCAGCTTTCGGTGGTGGCCCCATCCCCCTGGCACACCTTAAAGGCAGCCCCACACTCTGGAACTGATTTGGTGAAGATGACTCTTCGAAACCTAGGAGGCTGTGGCCTCACCCTTTGAAACTGAGAAGGCCCTGCTTCCCATGTTCCTTCCAATAGTTCTGATATCTTCAAGTTGCTCCAGGGATGGCCCTTTTCTTTTCTTGGAGAACAACAGATGTACTCCTTTGGCCTGTTTTCTGCCTGTAGAATTCCAAGAGACAGAGAGCGTTCTTTAATTCTTCCTTTGTCCCCTTCAGTCTAAGCTGATGGATTTTCTGCTGTGGTAGTTGGTTAGATTCATCAGTCTTGGAAGAAGTACAACCAGAATGTTCTTTAGAAGCAAGGATGCTGAGACATACTTAGGACATGTTATCAGGAGGGATCAGTCCCTGGAGGAGGACATCATGCTTGTAAGTAGAGGGTCAGCGAAAAAGAGGGAGACCCTTAACGAGATGGATTGGCACAGTGGCTGCAACAATGGGCTTAAGCATAACAACGATTGTGAGGATGGTGCAGGACCAAGCAGTGTTTTGCTGTATTGTACATAGGGTCGCTGTGAGTCAGAACCCACTCGACGGCACCCAACAACAACATCAGTCACAGGCTTAGTCTCTTTAACAAAAAGTTGCGTGGTCACGTCCTTGGTGAACATTCTAGGACACGTCCTTAGTTTGTTACAACAGAATTTTCCAAACCTTTAAGACCTGTTTTCATTTTGCACAGTTCATTTTTAAGCCCATCTCTTTCCTGTCGCATTTTACTGTAAGTGGCAAGGAGAAACCACGCAGCCCGTTTAAGATCTTGCTTTGAAATCTCATCAGCCAGATATCCAAGTTCATCACTTACAAGTTCTAACTTCCACCAAACATTTGAACATAATTCAGAAAAGTTTTTTTGCTGCTGCATAAAAACATCACCTTTCCTCCATTGTCTAAACACATGTTCATCATTTTCTTCTAAAGCCTCACCAGAAGCACTTTTAACGTCCACATTTCTAGCAACACTCTATTGCTGGTGCCATATGTTTCTCTAAGACAGTAGAGACTTTCTCTGTAGTTCTCACTTCCTTCTGAGCCCTCACAGAATTGCCTTTGACATCCATAATCTACCAACAGTCTCTTCAAGGCAGTCTAGGCTTTTACTATTAGATACCTTAAAACTCTTCCAGCCTCTACCCATTACCCAATTCCAAAACCACTTACACATTGCAGGTGTTTGTTAGAGCAGCACACCCACATCTTGGTACCATATTCTGACCTAGTTATCTAGTGCTGCTGTAACAGAAATACCATGGAGGGTGATTTTAACAAACAAAAATTTATTTTCTCACAGTTCAGGAAGCTAGAAGTCTGAATTCAGGGCGCCTGCTCTAGAGGAAGCCTTTCTTTCTCTATTGGCTCTGGAGGAAGATCCTTGTCTCTTTAAGCCTCTGCTCCTGGTTGATATTCGTATGGCTTGGCATCTCTCGTCCTCCATCTCTGCTTGCTTGCTTGTCCTAACCCCCCCAAAAAAAAAAACCCATTGCCGTTGAGTCGATTCCAACTCATAGCGATGCTATCTATAGGAACAGAGTAAAACTACCTCACAGGGTTTCCGAGGAGTGGCTGTTGGATTTAAACTGCTGACCTTGTCGTAATCTCTTTTATATCTCAAAAGAGATTGACTCAGGGTACACCCTACACTAGTCCTGCCTCATAACAAAGACAGCCTGTTCTCAAATAGGATTATAACCACAGGCATAGAAGTTAGGATTTATAACATTTTGGGGGGACATAATTCAATCCATAACATAAGCCTAGCTCGTATTAGCTGTCGCTTTTCAGATGAAATAAAAAATCCTTGGAAATAGTCACTTGGAGGATAATAATATATTCTAGGAAATAGAAAAATAACAAATTTCGTTAGTTTTTTTAGCAAAAGGAATTCAGATGATACTTTTAAAATTAATTTGCAAGGCAAATAGCATGTTTATAGCATTTGGTCATTCTCTCTTTATACAGTACAAAGCTTTTTATCAACAGAAAAAAGCAAGTAACTATACTCAGGAAGAACTTCAAGAAACTTATGGGTTTCTTCTGTTTGAAACTGAAAATCAGGTAAGGGAATTAGGTTGTTGAAAATAAATTTCGTGGTATTAATGTGTAACATTAATGGTATCATTAGCCTTAAATATTTGTATTTCAGTTCTATAAGATTTTGTTACTTAGTATGGTGGCAGTGTAAATGACATTGAAAGCTCATCATTGAAAGAGATTTGATTTCTACTTTTTTTTCCCCCTCTTTTATCCTAAAGACATTGGTAAGCTGATGGTGTGATTTGGATTAACCTGATTGCTTCGGTGTTGATAATACTTTTTTTTTTAATGGAGTGAATGGGTATTTCTCGATTTTGAGTCGTTGTTTAAATACCTACTTTCTGTTAAATGTGGAGGTTTTTGAAGTTTAAATCGTATGATCTTGGGGGATAAGATAAAAAATTTCTGTTTTCTAGTTATTCGGAATTTTTTCATGCTTGTCTTTGAAGGTTGAGCATCCATATTGTTGTTTGTACCTAGCTGTGAGAGACAGAAACTGTGGGAGAAGTTTAAACTACTACATGCAGAGTGTATCTTCCAAAGATGTATATGGCTTCCTTAGATAACAATTTTAACAGTACTAGAGATCTATGATTGAAAAAATAATTCAGAGGTAATGCTTTGGTTGGGTTAATGGTTTATGAAGAACAAAGGGATGTTTGCTTAAGCATAATTAACATTAACGTAACAAAATTATAATATGAGCGTTACATAGTAATACCAGAAGAGTTTCTCTCTTTTTTTATTTACTGAGTCATCTGAATCCAAATATGATGTGCTATGGGTTCTCACTAAAGATGTTTAGAGGTAAGACATTTTCAAACTCAGTGGTTACAAAGCTATAATTGGAAAAGAAATCTTCAAGACAGGACTTACCTGTGAACTTGTTTAACTTGGTTTTGCTTGTGACATTTTTGTTAACAGAAACGGTAAAATTTATGAAACACTTTTAACTATTAACCAAAACATAATTGTTTTACATAAACTTGCTTTGTACCACGAATACATATAGTGTACAGATCTTATGTTTATTTTAAAGCTAATAGAGCATAGTATTATTTCATTCTCTTTCCAAAGACTGATAATGACAAGCAAAGTAATATCTTTTGTTTAAAGGCAAAGTTGGTATGTCAGCGTGGGCTCTGTGTTGGCAGCAGTACAATCACCACTCTGGGTGATCCAGCTAAAGGTAAGTCTTTAAAGAAAAAACAATCTTTTCTTTTACAAGATGAAGTGAGGTTTAGTTAACTTCATAAAATACTTCTATTAAAAGCCAGTTTCACTTAATGACAAACAGATAATCTTTAGAGTCAGAACTTTAAACATTCTAAGGAGCTTAAAACTTAAGGTATTTCAATAGGATTTACATGATAAAACCTTTTAAAAGGTTGGTTGAACTAGAAAAGATAATGTATCTTTTGGTCCTTAGAGATTAGTACAGTCATCCAGGGGTGGTGAGGATCTCTTTTAATCTATCATAATGGGAGTAGGAATAGAGAATAGATAGAACTGGCCAAGCTTAGCAACTGTGGAATGTGAAAGGTAAGAGACAGGAACTAATCACATCTAAAGTTTTAAACTTAGAGTCTAGTGATATTATTAATAGAAAAGAAACACAGAAGGAGGGAAGCTGATAAGTTAAAGGATAAGGTAATCTAATGGTTAAAAACATGGGTTAGCATTGACTTTCTTTAAGCTTTAATTTCCTCATCAGTAAAATAGATAGAATTACTTTTTAGAGTTGTGAATATTAAATGGGACTATGTAAAGTGCTTAGCCAAGGAGCTGATACATACTAAGCTTTCAGTGAATGGACACTACTACTTTTATGAGTTAAATTGAGAAATGATGAAATTTACATAAGTGCTTCTGGCAGATGTCCAGCAGATGGTAAAAAACAATTGGGAAAAGGATTGGATTGCGGATGAGGCTGAAGGTGGGATGCTAGTTAAAGCCAAGACATTGTTACATGGGACTGTATAGAAGAAAAAGATGGCAAAGAACAGAACTTTTGGATCATTACGGGAGTGGAGGTAGGGGGTGAACACAGGGGAATGGGATAGAATGATGAGCAGTCCAGAGCAATCCAGTGGATGGAGATTCAGGAAGTAGGGTTTTACAGAGACCAGAAGGATCTCAAGGAAGAGTATTTGGTAGTGCTAGATGCTACACAATTTAGAGACAAGACTGAGAAAGATCATTGAGCTTGATGGCTATTGTCCTGCTGACCTGTTTTTTTTTTTTTTAATCACAGCTTTATTGAGATATAATACAATTCACCCATTTAAAGCGTACAATTCATTGTTTTTAGTATATTCACAGAGTTGTGCGACCATCACCACAATCAATTTTAGAACATTTTCATTACCTCCAAAATGAAATCCTGTACCTGTTATTAGTCACTCCCCATTTCCCCCACCCCCAGCCCTAGACAACCACTAATCCACTTTGTCTCTATTGATTTACTTATGCAGGACATTTCATATAAATGGAATTATATACAGTATGCGGTCATTTGTGACTGATACCTTTCACTTAGTATGTTTTCAACCTTCACTCATGTTGTAATAGTACTTCATTTCTTTTTACTGCTGAATAATATTCCATTGTATGGCTATACCGTATTTTATTTATTCATTCAATTGATAGACATTTGGGTTATTTCCACTTTTTGGCTATTAATACTGCTATAAACATTCATGTACAAGTTTTTGTGTGGACGTACCTTTTCATTTCTCTTGGGTATATATGTAGGAGTAAAATTTCTGGGTCATATGATAACTATGTAAAACAAAAATTTTTTTAAACTTGACATTCAGCTCCTGTCTTCTAAGGAGGAATAAATTCATAACCCTAATAAAACTTTATATGAAACCTTGCCTCTTCTACCCCATTTTTTGCACCCTGTTCTCTTCATTATGAAAAATTTGAACATACTGAAAAAGTAGAAAGAATAGTATAATATACCCGTCATGTAGGCTTAACGGGTAATATTTTGCATTCTTGGCTTCATTTTTTTTCTTTGGTGAAGAATTTGAAAATAAATTATAAGTAAACACCTCAGTATGTATCTCTAAAAAATAAGGGCATTTTTCTACATAGTGAACAATCACATTATTTTGTTTTAGAGGCTGGCTTCAGTAGAGTGGTAGAGGTAGAGGCTGTATTGTTCTAACAAATATACATTCTTCATAAACACATGTATTACAGTTGATAATAAAATAGCACTACTTCTTTTGTGGAGCCCTGGTGGTGCCGTGGTTAAGAGCTTGGCTGCTAACCAAAAGGTTGGCAGTTTGAACCCACCAGCTGCTCTTTGGAAACTATGGGGCAGTTCTACTCTGTCCTCTGGTCACGAGTTGGAACCCATGCGATGGCAGTGGGTCTGGGTCTGGGACTTCCTGTGTATATTTTGTAGTTTTTGGCTTGCATAGAGATGGGTAGTTATATGCATAATAGTGATATTTTATATTAATACAGAGCTTTATAGTTTTAGAAGTTTATTATCTTTTTAAATCTTCATTAGAATATTGTCGTGTATGTATCTATGACCCAAGCCTTGCTGAAATACCCTTCCCCTTTAAGGTGACTTACTCATAAGACTGTGGTTTTTAAGTGGAAAACCTAGAACTGGATCCCAAGTCTCTGACCACAGTTGTTGTTTTTTCCACTGTTTCAAAGTTTTCTCACCCATTGTCTTTTATTTTTCAAAAAAGATCCCTCAATTGAGTATCTCTGAAATCTGTCTTTCTTTATTCTCACTGCTGCTGCTCTTATTGGGATCCTCCTCTCCTGTTTAAACTGTTACAATAGCTTTCTAAGTGGTCTTTTTGATTGCATGGAGAAAAAAATAGACAAATTTGGGATTTTTCAAAAATTTGATACTTTTTTTTCCTTTTTCAGTTATTGTACCAGAATAGAAAACTGGTTGTTAGACAAATATATTCCATCTTCTCTTAGCCCTAATGTTTCCATACCTTTAGAATATCACAAATGGTGTTTTTTTTTTTTTTTTTAAAGAAAACTATATCGAAACAAATTTTTAAAGCTAGCTTTTATTTGTTCTTTGTGTATTCTTGTTTAGTTAAGGTGGCCCTACATATGAATTTTGTATGTGTAAACAGTCTTTTTAAAGTGTAAACTGATCTATATTTTATACTTTTATAGGTGTATACATTTCCAAATACTCAGACTATCTTCATCCAAGACCCTGGTATCATGGAAAATCTGGTTATGTTGTCATTTTTAATCTAATTAAGGTAAAGCCCAGATGTGCATTTGTGTCCTTTTAAAAACTGAAGTTTATCTATCTATGATGATATTCTTTGCAGATCAGTAGCTTCGTCTTCAACAAAGACAGCTACCCAGATTCAGATGAAAATAACTGATTTTTTTTCTTGCTCTTAAAAGCAAAACTTTTTTCTTCATTTAATAGTTAATCTCTGAACATTTTTTTTTAAACCTCAAAGCAGTAAGAGTATTTGGTGAAGAATCTTTCTCACCCTGTCTTGTACTACTTTTTAAACATTAATTGACTGAAAACAAGTAGCTACTTATAAAATGATATGATTATAGTTATAAAAGATGAATTTCAGAAAGCAGGATTCATTGTCTGGTTTAAATTATCAAAGTAAGAAGTCTTTATTTTCTTTATCCTTCAAAGATTCAGATGTCAGCCTAGTTTATTTTCTTAACAGTTAATTGCTTTTTCATGTGGCACCTGTAAAAAATGATGATCTCAGAAATTCTTATATATCATTAAATAGTTTAGTAGAAATGAATCGTACAATTAGAATTTTCACCTGAATAGTAGGAAGCTCTGATTTTAGAGGTTGTTGAGCTTTTGAGGATATATTCTGTGGTCTTGTTTTGTTTTATTTTGGTTTTACCTTTCTTACTGTCTTAAGTTCTTTGGTTATAAACCCAACAATACTAACTTTTTTTTTTTTTTTTTTTAACCCAAGATTGAACTCTTTATATTCCAAAGTTTGTGCCCAGGACCTGGAGGAAAAGTAGCATTGCATTGAAGTATAATCACTGCTTTTCCTCTCTTGATCTTCCCTCTCTTGTTCCATGATAAGTACTGTAGTTCTGCTGCAGAAGGTGTGCCTGTTAATTAGATAACGTAATAAATATGGATTTTTTTTTTTTCCTAGACTATACCTTAGCCTTGGCTTTTTGCCACCATATCCCCTGTCTGGATGGATATTGCTATTTAATTTTTTTTTTAATTAATTGCTATTTAATTTTGCATATATGCTCTAGTCCTTCATATTTTATTGCTCAAAAGCCAGCCACACCCAGATGTTTGATGGGGAGAAAATAAAGGTTGCTTACTGAATCCTCATTGAGAAGTACTATTTATATTCTTTAGCGTATAAGTATTGCCTTTGGTGGGTTTATAAATGAAAAGTTATGATTTTAAAAACAAAAACTAAAAAATTTTTTTATAAAAAATAATTATATTCATCTTGTAAGGATAAATATTAAAATTGCCTATAATCTCACACCCAACTTTGGTATATTTTGTATATGTTTTGTATGTCTTTTCCCCTTGAATATACAGACAATCCCCAGGTTATGAACAAAATTCGTTCCTAATTATATCTTTAAGTCAGATTTGTAGATAAGTCAGCACAGGTCCACACGGTTCTTATTTAGCCTTACTTGAGTGCAAAACAGGCTCGAAGCTTTTCAGTGATTTAAAAGCTGCACATGCAGCAAGTGAAGGTGATTGTGATGAGGAATTTGTTGAAGTATAGGAATTGGTTCAGTCATTTCAAAGTGAGGGCAAATTTACATAACATTAAAGATACAAGTTGTCTGTTAAGTCTGGCTTTCATAACTTGGGGACTGCCTGTATAGATTTATTGATTTTTTTTTTTAACTCGTAGCTAGTTTATACTATATAAACATACATGCTACTTTTTTTTTTTTTTTATTGTACTTCAGGTGAAGGTTTACAGAACAAATAGTTTCTCATTAAACAGTAGTACACATATTGTTTTGACATTGGTTAACAACCTCAGGACATGTCAACCCTCTCCCTTCTC